AGGCTAGAGTGAGATGTTCCAGTTCTTCTTTCATAGTGAATACAATTTGTTTCAAACTTGGTTTTAGTAGTAGATATAGAGGATATCTCTCACGATAAGCGAAGAGATACTTTCTGCACTCAAAGATAAACTTCGTATCCCCGCGCGGCAATGTAATGTTCTTTTTATTTTACTTATACTGATGAAATTTCAAAAGAACCGTCCGCGCGCTTGAGGGGGAAGCTCTCTTGTGAATGGCTAATCATGGTAGTAACCATGGCGACACCAATATCCTTACACGTGAAAGATAAAAATAGTATCTTCACTGCGCGCGATGAAGATATGATTTTCTAGTAAAAGGAAAAATCCTAGTATTTCATCAGTATCAATCTAGGAAACTAACTCCTATCTTTATGGCCGGAAGGGGTCTTGTTGCATTCTAAGAAACAGTGCACAAACGAGTTTTGGGAGTTCGGCAACTCAGCTCTCGCTAGAATTTGAAGTTACAACGTCTATTTTGAGATTTATCTTTCTCTAGTCGGGAGCTCTTCTTGAAAGGCTTTAAAATGGCTTAGGAGACGACGAGACAGTTGGGGAAAACACACAACTGCAAGGTTAGTCATTTTTATTGAGATTTTCTTTTTCTTAAAAACTTGACCTTTCTTTAAAATAGCTGTTGTCCTGCACACCTACCCTGACAGTAGTAAATTTTTATTTAATTACACTCATTTCAGCGAAATAAATTTCAATTATTAAACAAAAAGTAATAAAGAAAAATGTAAAGTAAGAAAATAAAAAAATGACTTTAATGATGAGACAACTGCATAGCTGGGGAAGGGGGGGGGGGGGACCTAAGTGTCTGTGACCCCCCTTTTGTGAGCCTTTTTTAAGCAAACAACCAACAATATTCAGGTAGCAAAAACTGGGGAGAATCCTCTGTTTAACACATTGTGACCCCCGCTTTACAAAATTCTGGCTACGCCCCCGTAAGAGAAAAGTGAGTAGTGAGTAAGGGAGCAAAAGCTTCCAAGTCGGCGAGTACCACTATAAAATTAATGAGGACTACGTAGTAGGATAATTTAACTTGATTAATAACTTAAATTTCCCTTCGATCTACATGGGAAGGGTAGTGAAAACCATACATTTGTATTACCGTGACATTTTGAGGTACAGCCTGCTTTAGGGCATAAAAAATGCATTGAACACAAAGTTCACTTGTCTGCCCTGTTTAACCGAGGTATAAACAACATCGCAAACTGCCCCTCCTTATAATGTGCATGGTCAATATATAACATGCAAGACGCGCAAATACTTTGCGAGTTGTGTAGTATTTTTCCGAGCCCGAAGGAACGAGGAAAAGTACGAGCACTGAGAAAAATGTCAGCTCGCTTTATATGTTAAACCATCGAAGAAAGGATGTCTTTTGGCTTCTAGTTTTCAAAACCTCGTATAGTCTTATCTAAGCACCGTACTGATCGCACAAGGAACAAGCGAAAGAATAAAACAACACAAATGAAGCCATTTATGTGTTCCTGATGACATAAAAAATCCTTCTGGGCTTGGAAGCTTGCTGCTGAAAAAAAGGAAATTAAAGATCGAGCGAACCGTTTCGGTTCGTATTGGTGCCCTGTTCTACAGTAGAACACCGTGGCATTTTTCTGCTCGTTCCGTTGCCCTAATATGGTGAAATGACATAATAGTAGAAAAATCGGATCAATATCAGTATTTGGGCAACTGCCCACCTACCCCTCCCCTAACCCAACGTTGAGTTAGGGGAGAGGCAGGTGGGCAGTTGCCCAGGTACTGATACTGATCCGAAAAATCAATGTTTAGATCTTAAGTACATCATAGTTCTTCTGCTCCGTCCTCTTCATTCGGGCAATCTCCTAGGTTAAATTCAATGGCATCTTCTACGGCATGTTGATTGTCATCGCCACCTCCAAATCTACAACCATGGTTATGGGAATAACCATGTCTCTTATTCTTCTTAATCTTCACAACCAGATAAATAATGATTATAACAGCAATTACTAGAAGTGCAATTAAGGAATAGATCAGAGGGGCGACTTTGTTGAAGGCTGTCTCAAAATCCAGATCTTCCTTTCCTAGGAATGAACAGTTAATATTTTTCTTTTCAGTCATGGACTATTACACCAAGTATATGCACTATGTAATACTCTATATCACAGAGACCACCAAACCCAGTGCATATTGAAAGGCCGACATTTTATTGTGGCTTAATGTTTTGTGTGAATAGGGAAGGAACATATGTGGACCACTCTTATCGGTGAAAATGTTTTTTCGCTTAGTTAGACACCAACAGAAAAGACTGAGCTAGTTACAGAAATTCACGATTTCATCTCCCGACGATCCTGAAAGCTTTTACTGATTTAAGTGTTTGTTACATAAATCGCTATGGCCCTATTTTCCTTGTTGTAAGAATGAATTAATCCCAATTTTGCGCAAAATGGTTTCACGGGGATGATAAAAAAGCTTACATACAAACAAAAAAATAATTACACCACTCTTTTCGGCCATGTACCTTTAGAAAAAAAATGTCTTATTGCATCTTAGCTGACAAAAAAAAAACATGATAAAAACATAAAGGACCTTTTGAAAGCTTAAACAAAGATCCTTGCTAAGTAGCAGCGGTGTTTATACCGGGGGAAGCGATAAGCACGGGCTCAAGAGGCCTGCATCATCTAGGTTGTTGTAGTAAGATGCTAGACTATTATACAAAAAAAAAAAAAAAGGTGAGCAACTCATTCAAAGAAAAGAAAGGAACAGACGTATACTTACTTGAGAAAGGTGAAACTGAGGAACTTTGGATATCTAAAAAAGTAAAAATAATATGAAACAAATAAAAACTTGTAACCTACGTCTATAATATCCTCCAACTGAGTGTCTGTGAAAAAGAAACCACAAAAACCCCTGACGAGATAAAGCGTAAGGAGCTTAGTTTGTTATAAAAGCGACTCATCTCCAAAAATCATCCTTTTTTTGTTAGTGCATCTTTGCAGCTCCTTCTGCGTATCACATTAGTTGGACCTTGACCGCGTGCATCGGATGCATTAATGAATAATAGCAGCGAATTCATCACTGAGAGGTTTTTTCTTGGCTCTAGTCACATTTGTTTTCTCCTGAAACTTAAGAAAGGATAGGTAGGCTGAAGAAATTTCCTTTACAACTTTATAAACACAAACTTGACCACTCCATTGATCTTTGTTCGCATGTTATATTTCAGAAAAAGGACGGTTTTGATGGCCAAGACCTCCTTGCCATTGCCCAAGATGCAGAGGAACTAAAGCAGTCCTACCCTATCATAAAAGAGCGTCTTAAATTCAAGAAATTGATTGCAATGAACAATGAACCTAGAGACGACACGAGTTCTTTACGGATACCGAGAAGGGACAATCCAAAAATATTGGAAAATCCGAAAGATATTAAGAATCGATATCTTTTAGACAAATAGCTTTTGAAAAGTTTGTCAAATCGAGAAAACAATTTCAAATCCTGGATTCCTTCATAGATCCACAAATAACTTTCATGAAAATCGAAATTAGTTTATAATCCAAGAATCTTTTCAAAATCCAGAAAATATTCGCAAATCGAGAAGAATATTTTGTCACGTGACACTTGCGTCAGTAGTCGGCACTTTGTAACGATACAGCACATTGTGTCGCACAAGGTTGCACTGGGTCGACTTGGAATCAAGTCGCGAACGGACTTAACTGTACCAAGTGTATTGCAATGGAAACTGAATGGATTGGCGAAGCTAAAAAATCTATTGCTTTGCTTCTTCTGCTTGTAATGAAAATAGACAATTTTGTGGTGCTGAATTTCTTGGCTTAAATTAAAAGCGTGGAGAATGATCACTCTGATCATTTAAGTTCATGACCTTTGTTCTTGTGTATTTACCATCACAAATGCATCGAATGAAGTTGTGACCATTTTGGAGGTACAGAAGGAGTCTAAAAAACTGCTACTTTGGTGCAAAAATACTTCAGAACAGCTAAAATTACTGAGCCCATTTCCATATGAAGTCCAGATACAAAGGTTCAAGTACTTTAGGTTGTATTTAATTTTGCCTTCTTTTCTCCAGTTTTTGATTTAGCAGTTTTTTTAAAATTTCTGTGGTCAAACCATTAGATAAACATTGCACATGGAATAGTTGACTCATTTTTCGATGGTTGTACACCCCACAAGCCATGGAGGGAAGACCAATGAAAAGCATTGAGCTAAAATTTCCACTTCCATTTATACTTTTTTTTACCTCAAAATTTTAGAAAAAATGTCCTATAAATATATTTTATGTGTGTAAAATAAATTGACATAAGGGGAAAGAGACCAACTAAGAATGGCAGACTAGCTGGCAATTTTGATTGGCTACATGCTCTTTCTGCACTTTGGCTCGTTTTTGATATGGTTTTCAATTTTTTTTTAATTGCTGGTGTTGATTTAGCAATCTGAGATTATGTCCAGTCACAAATTGTAATTGTTGGAGATTTTCATGACATCGATCTCCCGTATATAGTAACAGAGGGAGGTGTAATTTTTCAGCTCCCACAAGAAAAAAACTGTGGGCTCTCACTGGGTTACTTGGCTCATTTTATACTTTCAATGTATCCTTTAATAAGTCAAAGGCAATTTTTACTTTTGTAGAGCAAGCATTCCTTGAAATTTGGTACAGGTAGACTCTTGCCATTGTTTCCTCCTTTTTCAACGACTGTGCAAACACCTGATGTAGTACTCACTGAAAGCTTATGTTTTGATAATATCTAAAGTAGCAATATGAGTGCATGTATTCTTGCATCCACTGGAATACTCAATGCTGCTCTAATATTCTTTGTTTTTCAGAAGCAAAAATCACACAATATCTATATTCCTGTTCAGTAGCTGGACCATTTGTTGCCTTTGAGTTATTTTGATAATTTTTTGTGCTTTAAAAAATTAAATCAGTCTTGATTATAAGCTGCCTCGCATTATCACATTTGCTGAGTCATTGAAAAGAGAAGCTTTACTCACAAGTGTCTCTTGGGTGTAATTTCTGGCAATGCTTGCACTGTTAAGAAGTATACTGATTTAGTGAAGAGATATATTTTAGAAAAATTAATGGTTGAATTAAAGTTAAATATGTATGTATATTGTTCTATTCTTTCATAAAATGTTTCAAAGTTTGTCTGTTTTATACCACAATAAAGATTCTTAATAACTATAAAATCATAGTCTTTGAATTTGTTCGAGTTACACTTAGAGGAGTACATTCAGCAATGTACAGGAGAAAGCTTTCGGATAATTAAATGAAGTAGTCGAGAACTACCGGTAAAAAAGATATCAGAGGTTTCGCATGGGTTGAGTTTACTTCAAAGATAACAGTCCTCAATAGCACAAATATGATATCCAACTCAAAAAAGATTTTGCGAAGGTTCCACTGTCCAATTTTCTTTGAAATAGACCACATTTTATTTTAGCGATTGATTGTTTTTAAGAAGATTAATGAAGATGAGTCCCTTTCTAGGGAGTTAAAAAAATATACCTGGTTTCTGGTTTACAAAAATGGAACTTGAGGGGTTCTCAGAACCCTGGTCAGTACTTTTGAGTCATCTGAAAAGGTTAAAAGCGGAAGAACCTACCTGATGCTGCTGTCGTCATCACCGCCTGACCTAGATACAGAGGGAAAAAAATTTGGAAGCGTCTGAATAAGTGTGTAGCTTTTCTCTAAGATAGCAGTAGGTTTAGATAAGAAAATGAAAAAAAAAAAACGAAACAAAACTAAAAAAACAAACCAACAAAGCCTAAACCAAGACAGAAGAAAATAAGAGAAAAACAAAGAAGCAAAACAAAAAAACAAAAAAATTAAAAAACAACACGAAGAACACTAAAAGAAATTAATAGACCAAAAACAGCAAACTTGCTCTGTTTCTCTCTTTCATGACAGTACCTTTAATGTAAACCTTTACAGTTAAGATAGCATGTTCAAATGAATTCTTGGCATAGCAGGTGTGAAGTCAGCCATCAGATAAAGTGACATTTTTTTTTAAAGCCTTGTTTCTGAATCGAAATTTGATGTATTTTGAAGGAGAACCTCAGAATGGGGCCAGGTTTCCTAGGGGTAAGGATAGCCCCGCACTCGAGCAGCCAAATGAAGGTCCATTCCTTCTATGACATGAAGCTCCCAAGCATAAATAGGAACATGAATGGGAGCATAAATGGGAGAGAGAAGTTACCAAAGTAATGATTCACAAATGCCGCTGATGGACTTAGCTGTCAAATATTGCTTGTAAAAGATATCTTATCGCACCTCAGAACAGGAAAAAACACCAAAAGCAACAAAAAGATATGAGAAAAATGAGATGAAGCAAAAAGTAAGAATAACACAAGAAGGCTAACACAATGCTCGCTTAGTTTCAACAGTATACAAACCTGGACAAGATGAAGACAAAGAAGTTGGGGTATCTGAGAAGGAAAGAATAAACAAACAAACAAAACAAAAGTAAGAAAAATTAAAAAGAGGGACTGTAGCACATTGAACAGGTGGAAAGAAAATGTAAAGCCTTTATTAATGGAATCACTACCAATGCAACACACGATTAACATTAAATTAGTCACGGGTTGAACCTCTAGAGAAGAGAAGAGAAGAGAAGAGAGGGTAGTGAGTAGGGAAGAGAAGAAAGAGAGAAGAGGAGGAATTAGAGCAAGGAGAAAAAGTACGGATTGCAGTGTTTACCTGGTAGTGGTGAGGATGAACGGCCTGGGATGCCTAAATGCAGAAAAAAAAAAAAACAAAAAAAACAATAGACACCTCAGCCATTGTTTTCAATGTGCAATAATCCTTGAACAATGGGTAAATAATTTATTTAACTGAAAAGAAGAGGGCTCCGTTGCAAATAAATAAAACACCGTGAAGACTACTGTATGAGCTGTAAATGTTAGCTACCCAGTGTTTGTTTCACTCATTATTGCAATCATGAGTTGGGAAGGAAAACCACCCAATAAGCATCCCATATTCTGGCTGCCTCAGTGACCATTGTGTCGATACTCTCTGGTAAATTGCCACATGAATTAAGTCTGGAGCTGTGTCATAATGAGAAAATAGTGTCACTACATTGGCATTAAAGAGAGACTAATACATGGGTGCATGTAGATATAGAAGTTCTCTTCAAGTTCTCAACACGATAGCTCATGAGTAAGATATCTAGTTCGATGCGAGAACAGAAATTTCATATCTACAAGCCAAGTGATAGATTTTTGAGAAGATTTTGCTGTCCACTTTCTTTGAACTTAACCACCTTTAGCAATTGATTGTCTTTAAGAAAATTGATGAATACCAGTCCCTTTCAAGGGAGATAAAAAAATACATATTTCGGACTTCTACCTGATGCTGTGGTTGTCGTCACTGGCTGACCTAGATACAGAGGGAAAAAAATTTGGAAGTGTCTAAGTAAGTGTGTAGCTTTTCTGTAAAATAGCAGTTGGTTTAGATTAGAAAAGGGAAAAAAACAACAAAAATACATTTATATAATCTGAGTGTAATAAAATGAAATAAAGAGAAAGGGATCAACTGAAAATGGCAGACTAATGGTTGTAAAATTTGTTTTTATTGTTGATGATTCAGCAATCAGAAATTATGTCCAGCCACAAATTGTAATTGTTGGAGATCTTCACGACATTGATCTCCTGTAAATAGTAACAAAGGGTAGTGTACTTTTTAAGCTCCCACAAGAGAAAAAAAATTGCCCTCATTGGGTTACTTGGCTCATTTTATACTTTCAATGTATCTGATATTCAGTCAAAGGCAATTTTGACTTTTGTATAGCAAACATTGCTTAAAATTGGGCACAGGCAGACCCTTGCCTCCGATTATTTTTTTCTTTTTCGATGACATGGCAAATACCTGATGTAGCACTTGCTGAAAGCTTATACTTTGATATTATTTAAAGCAGCAAATAAGTGCATGTATTCTCACATCCACTGGAAGAATACTCAATGCTGCTCTAAGATTCTTTGTTTTTAGATGCAAAAATCAAACAAGATCTATATTCTTGCGTGGGAGCAAGACCATTGTTGCCTTCGCCTTCAATGTTCTTTGAACTTGGCCACATTTAGCAATTGATTGTTTTAAAGAAAATAAGAGAAGACCAATCCCTTTTGAAGGAGATAAAAAATGTATATCTCAGACTGGTTGCTAGTTTACAAACATGGAACTTGAGGGGTTCTCAGAACCCTGTTCAGTCCTTTTGGGTCATCTGAAAAGGTTAAAGAGTGGGAGAACCTACCTGATGCAGTGGTTGTTGTCACTGGCTTATCTAGATACAGAGGGGAAAAATTTTGGAAGCATCTGAGTAAGTTGTAGGTTTTCTCTAAAATAGTAGTAGGTTTAGGTAAGAAAATGTAAAAAAAACAAAAAAAAAAAACAAACAAACAAACAAAACGAAACAAAACCAAAACCAAAACAGAAGAAAATAAGAGAAAAACATAAAAGCAAAAAAAAAAAAAAGAATGAAAAACAACGCGAAGAACACTAAAAGAAACGTAAATGAAAACAGAAAATTTTAAGGGCATGTTAAATAACAGGTACCCTTAATAAATGGACCACTGGCGTCACGCGTGGGTTGCTTCTCGTCCTTGCTCCATATATTTTTCTCTGCGTTCTCCAATTATCCTTCCCCCTCAGAAAAACAATATCCCAAATTTCATTTCGACCTGGAAACTGTGGACAACAAAAGTCACCACGTGGATTGTCCACTGCTAAATTCCGAACACTTTTATCATGAATACTATTACTATTATTACTATTATCATCATTGTATAACACTCATATAAACATCACCTTTGGCTATTTTGAGGATCGTGGTGGACGTTTCCACCCCTGTCAGGTTTCTTTTGGCTTTACAGATAAAAATTTTTCCATCATCCACAGCCATTACCCTCTTGATAACTAATGTTCCATTTACGTAAATGTCAAAGTTAGGGTTATCAACAATTGGCTTTCTCATTCGTTCAACACGAGCTATCCGGGAGTTGTCCCATTTGGATTCGCAATCAGCAGTACGGCAGCGGTACCAACCGATATGTTCCACATTTTCTGAATTATTTGATGCAGAGCAAGCTAGCAGGATTGTCTGGTTAATTTGTACTGTAACCTCAGCACCTATCAAACAAAGGGTAATGCACTTTGTTTTTCAATTTTTATTTTAACATCATAACTGTTAAGTTCATTCAGATTAAACTGCAAAAAAGGGTGTTACTTTCAGTAAGCTATTAATAAGAATCCACATGGGTGATTAAACTTTGAAATTATTTTATTCTCTATCAAATTTTGAAGCCCTCTAAATAATTCTTTTCTCTGATTTGTGTCACTGTCATTTTGTTTCGTGCCACTAGATTTCAGCACTACTTGTTCTTCTTCATAATTTTATAAAACGTAATTTGGAAATCATCATCGTTTTTCCCCTTGCTTACTGAGTATTCTTCTCAATCGTGACAGTATATCTTTTTTGTGCACCCTCTTCTTATAGTTGCATTGCATTTTAAAATGAGTTATTAGGAGTTATGGCAAAGCTATGTAGAAACAAAGCGACCCAACGAATTTATTCGTTCAAGATTGAATCAAATTAATAGACTTATAAAGCTTTGAAAATTACACATCTAAGTTACATCTCGGTTTGAATATCTCAGAAAGGTTTAATGAAATGTTAATCGACGCATTTGTGCTAATTTTAAGACTTCATGGGTCGTTTGAAGCGTCTTTTTACGAACTTACCTTTGGTCGGAGGCCGTTAAGAGTACAAAGGGAGACGATGTCTTCTTAGCGGATTTCAAAATTATCTCCATGCATGTTTGATCTCGCTAGCGTTTGATGTCGTCAAATTTAAAATCAAGCTTTAGATGACCTTGATCCGTGACACGTGCGTGTGTTTTGATTTATCAATGCATGCTGTGCTAGTGTAAATTTAACAGGTCTTCAATCATCTAACAAACATAAGTAGATATAACATACCTTTGCAGGTTACTGTTGAGGACCAAATAAAACAGGAAAAGGTCAACAGGACCAACATTTTCTTCTTAGGGCGAACTAACGTTATAAGCTCGCGATCGTTTAGCCAACCGGCCATGTTTGATAACAAAATAATGAACCAAAGATCCTACCGGCTAGCGGTACACCCGAGGAGAATAGTAGGTTCCATGTATGGACAATTATTATGTCCCAAATACACATTATGTCTTGTACTTTACATACAAACAATGTCCTATACTTTACATATAAATATCCTACACACACATACAACCATACACAGTTATGCAGCGCCATACAGAGCTATAAACAGCGATACAGGGCTATAAACAGCTATACACAGCTATACAAAGCTATAATGAAGGGGTAAGTTTCTAAAGAAACTGTGGTGCTGCGTCGGTGGGAGAGTATAGCAGGTAATTTAGTGTTAACAACTGGGTTGAAAACGTAAATTAGCCACCGTAAAGAGTAAAAAAGCTGACGTTTCGAGCGTTAGCCCTTCGTCAGAGCAATCGCTCTGACGAAGGGCTAACGCTCGAAACGTCAGCTTTTTTACTCTTTACGGTGGCTAATTTACGTTTTCAACCCAGTTGTTAACACTAAATTACCTGCTATACAAAGCTATACACAGCTATACAAAGCTATACACAGCTATACAGAGCCATACAAGGCAATACATAGCTATAAAGAGCTATACAAAGCTCTACACAACTATACAAAGCTATACACAGCTATACAGAGATATACACAGCTATACAAGGCTATACAGGGCTACACACAACTAAACAGAGTTATACACAGCTATGCAGAGATATACACAGCTATACAGGGCAATACACAGCTGTACAGGGCTATACACAGCTATATAGGGCTAAACACAGCTATAAAAGGCTATACACAGCTATACAGGGCTATACACAGCTATACAGGGCTATATACAGCTATACAGGGCTGTACAGGGCTCTACACAGCTATACAGTGCTATACACAGCAATACAGAGCTATACACAGATAAACGGCTATACACACTTATACAGGGCTAAAATTGTCTTCCACCTGAATTGAACGGTCACTTAAAGTGGAACCACTCAAATAAAACCAATTGTATTTATTACGTACTTTCGGTGCATAAAGTCGTCAGCTGTGGCATAAAATGGCATTTTTTTATTATTTTTCATAATACCCTTCTCTATGGAACCTGTATAGCGGTCAACCTCCATGAAGCGATCATTCTGCCATTCCCCATGGGTGACTACTTAACACAGGTTGGACTGTAATTTGTTTTTCTATTAGAGGGAGAGGATGTGAGTAGGAATATGGTTGAGGAGGTGTATTGAAGTGGAGGGAAGTGAGGGGAGAAGCGGAGGGAATCAGTGCATATGAAATTACACGAGTGCGGCTATGAGACATACTAGAGTTGAGTTCGATGATAAAACAAACACCAGTAATAAAGATTTTGGTCGTGAAAAATAGGATTGATAAAAATCAATGCAACCCTATATAAGTTTGGACATACTCAGTTAAAATATGCTCCAAAACCGGACATTGGGAAAATTGGAAAAGAACACATCGTGCTCACCTGATGTTGGTGAGGATGATGAGTTTGGATGTCTAAGGGTAGAAACAGAGCGGCAAAGTAAATAACTTCTATACTTTGCCTAACTGGTCATATCTTACAGAGGTAAAAATTGTTCCATATGCCAAGGCCGTTCTCGGAACCCAGTTCATTCCTTTTAGGTCATCTGAAAAGGTTAAAGAGCGGGAGAACCTACCTGATGCTGCGGTCGTCGTCACCGGCTGACTTGGATACAGTGGAAAAAAATTGGCAGCGTCTGAGTAAGTGCGTAGCTTTTCTCTAAAATAGCAATTGGTTTAAATAAAAAATAAATAAATAAATAAAATCAAAACAAAACAGAAGAAAATAAGAGAAATAATAACAATAAAAAACAAGAACAACAACACGAAGAACAGTAAAAGAATCGATATTCGATGTAGGCTGAAGGAGAAGTCACGATGGTTCCAAGTTATCCAGGGGTAAGAATAGCCCTGCACTAGAGCATCCAAATGAAAATCCATTCCTTCAATGACATGAAACTCCAGAGGACTCTCTAGTATTAATTGTGGGGGGGGGGGGGGGGAGGGTTCTAAAAAAAATTTAAAATTATTCAACTACTTTAAGGAATTTTTTATTCCTTTAGTGACAGAAAAGAGAAGCAAAGATGCAAAGAACAGCGTCCGAAGTGATAGGATTAAATAAACGAAAGCGAGGAGTGGGGATGGCGACGTGGCACCCGTTTCTCGAAAATCCCAGAAACTTTAAGGGCCTAAAGCCATATTTTAAAATCAAAATTTAAAGAACAGAGAAGGAAGTTCTGGTACACTTACCATTTCAATTTGTTTCTTTGGCTTACAGGCTTATTATAAACTTGTTTCAAATGGCACATTTACGGGCACGTGAAGCTACCAGGACCCTCAATAAATGGACCTTTGACGTCTCAAGTGGGTTTCTGTTGCTTCTCGTCCTTGTCCTGTTTTATTTTTTCTCAGGGTTCTCCAGTTATACTTGATACTTGCTCCCCCGCCCCCCCCCCCAGAAAATAACATTCCAAACGTCATTTGGTACTGGAAACCGTAGACAATAAAAGACACCACTCGAATTGTCCACTGCTAAATTCCCATTGTTATTATCTTGAATACTATTGGTATTACTATTATCACCTTTGACTGCATGGAGGATCGTCGTAGACCTTTTTCTCCCTATGTACTTCTCCTCGGAAATGCAGATAAACATTTTTTCACCATCCGCAGGTAGTACCTTCTTTATAGCTAAGGTTCTGTTGGTGTAAACGTTAAAGTTTGGGTTATCGGCAATTTTCTCTGTCACATTTTGAACATGCGCTATCAGGAAGTTGTCTCAGTCGTGTTCGCAGTCATCGGTAGAGCAGCGGTACCAACCGATATGTTTAACATTTTCTGGATCGCTGGATGCAGAGCACGACAGCAAGTATATCTCGTGAAGTTTTACTGTAACCTAAAGCTCAGCACCCATCAAATAAAGGGTAATATATTTTTTTCCCCTTTTATCTTCATCCTTAAACTTCCATGAGTGACCAAGACAGAATTTCTCCTTACAATATCAATACAGTATCAACCAGATAAGTTCTGAGAATAAAGAAAAATATCAATTTGGGGATAGATAGTTGATTCAATACTAAATTCTCTGAGCTAACATCATAAGAACTGTACAGTTGACAGTAAGGAGAATCAAAAATTTGATCTGAGAGTTAAAGAGTTAATATAAGAGCTGTTAATATCATTCTCATTAACATTATCAGTATCTTCATTTTTATCCAGTTTTATATCAGGAGTGTTCGGAGAGCCTCTTTTTGAAAACTTTCATATAATTACACGATGAGCGATTTTAAGCGTTAGATTTAAATATGGAATAAATTTTAGCTTGTCATTATTTTTTATCATTATCATTGTCATTATTAGTGTTATTATTACAACCATTCTAATTATTGCTATCTTTACTTTTATCATCATCATCATTAATATTATCATTATCATAATTATTATCATTATTGTTATCGTTGCAATTAAAACTGTGTGAAAATTCTCCAATGCGATTGTTCCTCATTTGCCCGATTTTAGCAATGATAGGAACTGGACTTTGGACAGGATGCGTCATATGCATGTGCTGTTGTCGTGCATTTCGGAGTTAAATGTTGTATTTACTGAAGACGTAGAACCATTCCGTTTTTTCCTTAAATCTTTCTCGCGGTAATCCGATTTTTCATTAACTCGTATGTCAGTCATCCAGGGGCTGTGAGTCGATTTCAAGTCGGGGCGGAAGAGCCCCTGACTTGAAATCGACTCCGAGGTCTCCGAGGATGGTTTTCAGTCTGATTGCCACTACTTTTAATATCCATCGTTATTATTTTTACTATTAATATTGTCATAATTGTTAATAACTTTTTTTGTAATGTACGCTTAGTGAAATTACTGAGCACACGGCGCCTTCGCGATCTGCTTGACTGAATCACCATTGACATGCCGCAATTTTGAGTTCACGAATAAAAATTACCAAATGTTTTATAGTAGTTTATCGACGTACCTTGTGACGTATTGATGGTAAGAGGCACCATGTTACATATTTGGTGACTTTAGAGATACTATGGAATGTACTTTAGGAAACTGAACGTGGCAAAACGCGAGTTAAACCGTAGATTTAAACTGGCGAGAGCAATGCTAACCTAGACTTAGCTGGGATAAGTGATGAATGCATGTCTCAAAATTCTCTCTCTACTGATTAAAGTATCGAAAAGGCCGCCAAAGAACTTGTTGCTTTAACTCGTTCACTACCAAAGACTGACATAACATTAAAACCGGCTTTCTATAGTCAACTCCGATCGCAAGCTCAAATATTTGTGCATAACACTTAAAAATACCGTATATATTTTAAGGAGGGATATGGTTTTTTTGTAGCTGATTATGATGAATTTCACAAGTGAGTTCTTTATTGCGCGTATCCCATTCACCAACACTGAGCAAGACTTTGGAAATAAAAATTCAAGCATTCATGAATTACACAAAATCACCTGCGAATTAAAAGTAAAGAGTTTTAAATTTCGATTCATTCCGAGAGCGAGAAAAATTCCACATTAGCAGACAAACCATGTCCTTGTTGTGACTTCTCCGGCTGCGAAAAAGTATATCAACTCACACATCTGCCGGTCGGTGAGTAGACTAGATTCTGGGGTTTCATAAAACAAACTAAGTGCTCTAGTAACATACCTTTGGATCTCAGAATTGAGCCAGATGAAAAGAAGAAGTATAAAAGAATTATTCTCAAAGAAATGTACACATCAAGTTGAAACTCCGCTACAAATTAAATCAACGTCGATTCGGCGAACAGTTAACAGTCGATCACGAGTTGACTGGAAAAGTGAATTTAATTACTTGATCAGGTCCAAGTTGGACTAAGTTTAGCAATGACGTCAACAAAGAAAGGTCGCCCAACATCGTCTTGTATTTTAAGTTAAGTGACTATTATACGGAATAAAAGATCGGAAAATGTTCTTCTCAAGAACAAATCTCACATGTATATGAATCCTATCTATAAATCTTTCTTTTTATATGTTTATTTTAGAGAGATGATAAAGACACGTGTGTGTCACATAGTTGTGGTTCTATTGACCTATTCGTGTCATAGTTATCTTCATACAGCAAGCTGACAAGGTCTTTGCATGTATTCGTATGATTGGTTAACAGGGGTAATGTTTGCACGAGACTTTGGCCCGATCACGTTAGGCTGGCGAAATTTCAAAACGGTGTTTTCCTTCGGAAACGCAGTAATCTCTTTATTACAGTAGGAACGGTAGAAACAGTAGTAACATTACAAAGACAAACAGTGGGCGTAATTTTCAATACACAAAATTCTCAATCATTGACTTGGCCTTACCAACAGAAGACATCTTTCAAGCACATCGCTAAAATCTGCCTGCGGCAAGTCTTCCATTCGTCGAGTTTCCTTCACGGCCGGGAGAAATGCCATCACCAAAGCCACTGAATTCGTAACTTTCAGTTTTTTCTTTGCGTATTTTGGTTTTCTTCCCCTTTTAGGAAATTCTGATCGTCACTGTCTATAAGCGACACGGATTTTTTTCAGCGTTTCAACAGCCATAATCCGAAAAAGTTCCGACAAACGACCTTGGATTGAGAATGGTGAAAGCTTTGCCCTTCATTAATCAAACTGACCGATTGGCGCGAAAGGCGAGCAACATGTCAGCAGCTGATTGGCGATATCAAACACACGTGAGAAAATACGATATTTTTTCACCTGTGTTGTCACGGCTTTTCTCAGGGCTGGAAATCCTAGTATTACACCTTAGTTTGTATAATAAATAGAGTTGGCCATAAAAATTTTTCTTACAATCACAAATGACGTAATGTAACCGATGTCCATATCATCGCCCCAATGAGACGGCTTTCACGAAATTCACACTGATTATTATGGCGTTCAAATAGCCTTGACTGCCTTCGTTTATATTTCAATAAATTGACCTGCTTTAAAATATCTTTTGTGGCGAAAACCTTTCTTAAGTATCGCACACGTACAGCGGAAAATGCTGCTCTAGGGTATAAAATACGCTTTAGATATAAGGAATGTATAGAAAAGGTAAGTAGACATGACATACATACATACATACAAACTTTAATGCACAGCGCCCCTTTGGGGGCTCTTCCGCCATACATGAATATTAAAATATCAAGTTACAAAGAAAAAAAAACTATTTACAGATAAAATATGGCTTTAAAAAAAACAGCTTACATTTCGATAATACCAGGAAATAAATATAAAAAAAATTAAACAACATCTTTTAAAAAATATCGCAGTTTTACAGCTTGTAACGTACTAACATCATACACTTTTTTTTCTAACTTGAAAAGAAATGTGTCACTGATACATCAGTTTACAGGGTCAAAATAAAAAAAAAATTAATGGAAACAATCCATACCAAGTACCGTTATAGAGCAACAAATATAACCAATAACAAAACTACGGTTAAATTCCATGAGCACTCTACAGTGAACAGGCATGACCTGCTGTTGAATTGTTAACATATCTAACGCTATTCGCGGATGCCTCAGTATCGCTCTTGCAACTACGAGTACCTGCTATGTTGCGGTCTTTAAAATTATACAGCTGGCTTCGATTTAGGTGACAGTTACAAGTTTTGCAACAAATTATTTTTAACAATAATCCTATGCATATCAACGCTAGAGGAATTATTATCGCAAGTGCTGTCGTAACCTTCATGTGTTTGCTGCCTCCATCTATGAATAAATGGACCATCGTTCTCTGTAAGTTTATTATACTCATTCAACCTGATAACTGGAATCCTGGGGAACACCATGCATAAGCTTAAACCTCATGTTCTACAATCTCTTAAAAGCTTCAATCGGGAAAGCGGTTTTAAGTTTAAACATCTGTTGCATTCAAGAGTCTTCCCCATATGCATAGCTCGGAAAAAACGCCAGATTTATTGAACTATAAAACCAAACTTAGTTCACAACTCGTTGCGAAGGGTTAGGAGCAACGCATTAATCATTTGGAAAAATCGATAGGACGGTGAACTATAATAACAAAAGCAAACGAAGAAGCAGAATAGAGAAATGAAGACACTCATTCAGATATGAATAAAACCTTCCTTTATGTTGGTCTGTTTGTATTTTTTTCATCAGGAAAAAAGCAAACAAACAAAAACCTAAGGGAGGAGGGTCTATAAGGTTAGGAGCCTCCGAGGTTGGGATATAACCTTCATGGGAAATAAAATATATAATTTTAATATTATAAAAAAAAACTGTACATCTAAATTAAATAACAGTATGGGTGAGAAAAAGAAGTTTCCAAAGTAACGATTCACAAAATGCCACCGATGATCTTCGCTGTATAATATTGCTTGAAAAAATGTCTACCAAAAGTAATAAAAAGATGAGAGAAAAACTAGAGGGAGAGCAAAAAGTAAGAATAACACCAGTAGGCCAAAACAATGCTCGCTCAGTTTCAACAGTAAACTAACCTGGACCAGATGAAGACAAAGAAGTTGGGGTATCTGAGTAGAAAACAAACAAACAAAAAAAACAAAAGTCACCACCAATGCAACTCACAATTAACATTAAAATAGTCATAGGTTGATCCTCCAAAGAAGAGAAGGGGAATAGTGAGTAGGGAAGAGAGAAAAGAGACAAGAGAGGAGAGCGAAGGGGAGAGAAAGTAAGGATTGAAGTGTTTACCTGGCGGTGGTGAGGATAAACGGCCTGGGATGCCTGAATGCAGAAAAAACAGTAGACACCTCAGCCATAGTTTTCAATGTGTAATAATCCTCTAATATTAAGTAAATAATTTTCTTAAGTTAAGATAAGAGGGCTCCAATGCAAATAAATGAAGCACCGTATGAGCAGTAATGGTAAGTGAGCCACACCCCCAAAAACTATTGGCGCAGTGTTCATTAACTGTTTTTCTTTTTAGGAAATTAAGGTCTTCTGATGGCATCTGGTAACCCGAGCTCCCTTTTTCATGACTTTAAGTGGCATTTCTTTGCTTATGTGAAAAGTTATACCATGCCAGGAATCCAACATCAGTGAGTAGAATAAACTTACCTTCCACATTAACCCTCACAGTGACAGTATCATTTCCAACAGTATTCTCTGTGTATAGGACATGGTCACCACTGTGGGCTTTAGTGATGCTTGGAATCTTCATTACTATTTGAGAACTGACGTTGGATGTCTCCTGTATGACACTTTCATTTGACTCCAAGACACGACTTAGAGAAACCCATGGATAGGGGTAGGCCTTCACCTGAGCTTCCATCCAAACATCCATCCCTTCAAAGACATAGATATTTTGCTGACTGACCAGTGTCAGAACTGGGCGCTCTGGAAATAAGTTAGAGAAAAAATGAGAAATATTGGTAAAGAAGTCAGGACTCCATTTTCCTTTACACTGATACAGAAAATGGCCAGAAGGACGCATGGAGACAGCATATAAAACAGAATAACTAAGAGGTAAACATTACCTTGTACTACTTTAAGATGGTAAATGTTTGGCTCAGCTCCAGTATCTGTCTGCACTCGCACGATGAAGTATCTTCCATCATACATGGGGAGAACTTCCTTGATAAGTAAAGTCCCGTTGAGGTGGGCATCGAAGTGTGGATTTTCAATATTTATCTTCTCCCTGAAATAGATGTCAGCTATCCAATGTCTGTCCCACTCATTATTGCAATCGTGAGTTGGGCAGGAAAACCACCCAATAAGCATCCCATTTTCTGGCTGCATCAGTGAACTCTGTAGCAATACTCTCTGGTGAATTTCCACATGAATTATGTCTGGAGCTGTGTCATAATGAGAAAATAGTTTCACTACATTGGCTTTAAATAGAGACTCATACGTGGATGCGTGTAGATATAGAAGTTTTCTTCAAGTGCTTAATGTGATAGCTCATGAGTGAGCTATCTTGTTGAATGCGAGAACAGAAATTTCATATCTACAAGCCACCAAGTAGTATTTTATTTAACATACAAAAACAAAAGCCCTTTACTGACAAGAAAAGTCAACTTTGAAATGAATAAATTAAGCCAAAGGCTTAAAAAAACAACACAGACAGCAGGCTAAAAAATTCATGATATCCGTTGCCTCAAAAAAACCGAATTGGACTTTACCCTCTGAGTTTGCAAAGAAAAAAATGAGAACACTACACAGACAAAGAGCTTGAAAACTAGGTAGACTTTGACCTTGGTACGATAACGGCAAATTATAACCAGATTTTTCATTCTAAGTATAATATTTAATAACGTCTAAAATCACTAAAGCACTTGTACTACAATTTTGAAACATGTGCAAGAACCCTGTTGGTAAGTTTGCAAAACATGTTTTGACATTACTTGTGTCATCTTCAGTTGCAAATGCCATGTTACAAATCGAATTGAACTGACTCTACAAATACATTAATGAAATACGACGGACAATAACTTGATACAGAGTTGCGAATTATTGAATAAAATATAATGGAAAAATAAACTGCGATTCAATGAGAAATTTTTGCTAAACACAAACTGAACATGCAATTCATTGCTAGCCTAATGTACAGGTCAATGAATATCTCCTTCTTTATATACTGGTAGCTGGTTCTAGACGAGTTTGGAATTTAAGCATAAAAATTTTACTGAAGTTATGCATTTTCAAACAAATATTTATCATGACTCCTTGAAGTCTTTCAGGCACAGTGATTAATTGGACAATTACAAACTTATTTTTGACCATCAGCCTGATCTGCCATGATGTCAGAACATAATGTATGTTTTTATAACAACAATTTTCCCTTGTCAAAGAAAATCAGTAAGCTACAAAATACTTGAGATTAAAAAAAATGATCAGGAGATAGTTAAGGCCATTATCATGTAATTTCCTCTTTGGATTCAACAACATTCTATTTTAACTAGGTGCATTTATGTGGATGACAATCAACATCAATGGTTCGCGATCATGGGATTTACAGCTTTTGATGTTCGGCTACATCACTTGCGGATTTCCGAGAATCTTCGGTTATGTTTTGCAAGTCATTAAATATTCCGTCTCAGTCCCTCTCGATCGAGGTGGTTTTGGTGGATGGAATCTAATGCTGACCCGACGAATGGGGGATGAAGAAAAGAGCGAAATAGGAGTGGTCAGCGGGGAAAGAAATATAATACCTCATATAAAGACATATCAGTTATAGTTGCGGAAAACAATAGTGTTGTAAAACCGAAATATCAACAGTATACTTCGCTAAATAAAATGTTAAGCAATTTTTTAAAAGTGTTGGTGGCACATACATCTTTTACTGCTGTAATAAACAATAGAGGCATCGGAAAAGGCATCGGTGGCATCCGGAAAGGAATTAAGAAGAATTATATTTACGTTTTGTAACTTGCTGCGTGACGAAAAAAGAAAACCAAAACCGTGGTCCCCAAATGAATTCTCCCACCTTGCCCCAAAAAATGTTCACATTTTCCGCAACTTCACCTTTTCCTATTCGTAGGTCCGGCCAAGCCTTCATGGTCATTGGCTCCCGTATAGTCACTAACTATGGCTAATAAATACAGGTGTTAAATTGTAAAACTCCACGAAGAAGTATACGACAGTTAAACGAAACGCGTCGGAGACTAAAGAAATTTTACGACTACCGTTCTAGAGTGCTGCTCACCAGTTTAGTTTTAAAGATTTTTTTTTTAAAATTTGGTACGATAGCTGGATGTACCTTTGGCAGAGACGTGGGGGAGACAGAGACACCAACACAAAATTTCGCCTGCCGTTCGCTTCGAAAATTAAGTTTTTATCCCGAGTTCATTTGTTAAATAAAATAGGAAAAAAAACACTTCGAACGGAAAACAGAATTATTTTAACGCCTGGATCTTCTGGAAAAGGGTCTCCTAAACGAGGGGCCCTGATTATTAATATTTAAGCATGGGTAACACATTAGCCTTAACTTGGCTGTTTCTCAAAGCTCAGTGTTTTCCTACATGCCTTTTTCTCGTGAAATGAGGCGATTGAATATATATAATAATCACTAAAAGAACTACAGCTGATGGAAATTTAAAATTTCTTATCTAAAGGCTGTGGAAACAAACTTATTAATGACTCTAAAAATATAGAAATCTAGAACGAATTTTTTTTAGAGTTGCTTAGCTTTTCATTTCTCCGGAATCGAAAGTCGAGATTGCAAAATTTCAAGTGAAAGTAGACCGACTGTGATTTACTCCTTAAACAAGTCAAGATACTTTTTCCGTCATACAACAAGTTACATATCGTAAATATTATTCTTCTTGATACCTTTCCCGGTGTCACCGATGCCTTTCCCGATGCCTCCGTTGGTTCATATAGCAGTTAAAATATTTTTCCAGTCAAAGTGTTTGGAAAATTGCTTAACTTTTAAATTAGCGAAGTATAACCTGGTAACATTTTGGCTTTACAATACGATTGTTTTTTGCAAGTTACAAAACGTAAATATAATTCTTCTTGGTGCCTTTCCGAATGCCACCGATGCCTTTTCCGATGCCTCCATTGTATAATACAGCAGTAAAAGATATATGTGCCATCAACACTTTTGAAAAATTGCTTCACATTTTATTTAGCGAAGTATACTGTTGACATTTCGGCTTTATAACACTATTGTTTTCTGCAATTACAACTGATATGTCTCTATATGAAGTATTAAATTTGTTTCCCCGCTGACCACTCGTATTTCGGTCATTTCTTCACTCCGCTTGTCGCCCGTGATGTAGTAACTCCCGAAAAATAGTGTGAAAGGTGAGTGGTCAGCGGTGAAACAACTTTAATGCTCCACATCGAGACAGATCATTTGCAGCTGCAGAAAACAATCGTGTTGAAAAAGCGAAATTTTTGGCTAAACCACCCGCGTGGACAGCGGTCGAAAGTGTAAATTTCACAGATTTTGTCTAGCGCCCAGTGACTGCAATAATACAGCTCACAGAATTCTATCTTGCTACAAGTTACAAGATGTATTCAATTAGATAACAGACAAAATTAATACGGAAACTCCACTTGAAATATTTTTCATACCAGCGTAATCAAAGGAGACCCTTCTATTCAACCACCCTAATTTGCATATAAAAAATTTACCAATTTTTTCGAAAGAATTCTCAAAATAGAGGCGTTCATTGGGCTAAAAAAGCATATCAGTGTATCGCTTATACACCAATGAGGTCACCGATTGCCCCAAACCCGCGGGTATATCTCTGACTTTCATCCACCAACATCTTAGAAACAACGCAAATCCATGTGTTTGCAAAATTATGAAAATTGACCAAGATCTCCTTATGACCATTCAAACTGCGTTTGTTTATCTTCTACGTTGAGGATTTAAGGTTTTTATAGCAACTCAATAGGGAATAGATCCCGAGTTGTCCTAAAACGTTGCGTAATACGCTCGCGCACTTACGTGACTTACAAAGTAAACAAAGCTGATCGGAAGGTGTTTTCTCGTTAATCTTCGTTAAAATATCAGGTCATGAAACTACGCACAATGTGGAGAAGATCAAAATCAAAGAATAAAATTCAGCACTCCGGTCATTACAGACATATCGCGTTGCTTAAAAGGACACACAAACAAATTAAAATACGTTACAGTTTTATTTACAAAGCAACACGCACACACTCTGAAAGAATTCTTGCAGTTTCTCCCGAGATTTCAATGAGCACACAGAACGCAATGAACTAGCCCTCCTTTCTGCAAATTTGTATCCATCATTTGCAAATTTAAAGTTCCATCATGAATGATTTTACGCTGTTATGGACCAGGAATATGGTAGAAATGTCGAATTCAACGCATCAGCAAAGACTTACCGAAACTGTATTTGTAGTAGAGCTCAACGTTTTGCAAATAACAAATTGTTTTGGATAATTCATAAATTAAATAAATGAACGTTAAGTGCGACAGAATAAGCACTCCCCCCTCCCCCTCCTAATTCTAAATAATAAAGTAATAAATTGATGAATATGTTACAGGAGAACGATTAAAATTTATGACAACAGTAAAAAAAAATAATTAAAGAAATTAAAGAAATAACAAAACAGAAACAAAAATAAATGAAAAGTAAAGCTTACTTATAATCATTATTTGGTGATATTACCTTGGTCATAAAATCACATACTAAATTCATCACAATCACTCAGCGATATTTTATCTAAACACCTTGATTCCTATTGATATCATTCTAAACCAAGAACTTTAAAGATGTATAGAGCAGTTGGAACTTCTTGTTACAGCGTTTCCAGTGTATCGAATTTTGGCTGTCTGTATGTTTCGTTAGCCCTGTTGAGTATATAAGTTTGACGCATTCGTTTCCTTGCGAAATGTTGCGTTATCTCTCGTGATTTGCCATTTTTTTCGTCCCTAAATGTAGTCCGGTGGATCAATGTTTATGTTCAGTTTTTCGAGGCAGCTTCGTGGTTAAACAATTTATTTTTCTCTATTGTGAGTTTTCTTAAGAGTTTTCGTTTTCTTTTACAGCTGTTTCGAGAAAGGTTGTCGGGAAAAAGCTTTAAATTGGTTTTGGTTCCTTGTCAACAGGCTTTCTGGGAAAAAAATTTGAGAAAAATTCGCTTTAAGGACGAAGCATGATGGGATCGATGCAGGGACGTAGCCACGATTTTCCGATGGGTGGGGGAAGGATGGGGAAGGGTCATACTGTGGCAAAACATCAGTAGATGCCGATCGTCAGAGAAGAGAGAGTTAAACTTTAATCAGATAAAGAATTTTCCATACCTCTCTTCCCTGCCCTGAAAATAGCTGAAAACTTTCATTTCTATTGGCATTTCTTAGCTAGAA